CCCCCCCCTCCCCAATCCCCAGCGCGGTGCAGTAGGGCCGGGGCCGCTCCTCCGCCGTTATTGACACTTCCATCGCCTTCAAACTCGGGAAAAGCCGTTTTGATTGACTGCGGTGATGGATTGAGCGATCGAGCTGTCAGGGCCCGCGGCTCCCGGCTCTTAGGGACCGTGCACTCGAGCTTTCCTTCCCTTCTTTTCTTCCTTCCTTCCTTCCTTCCTTCCTTCCTTCCTTCCTTCCTTCCTTCCTTCCTTCCTTCCTTCCCTTTCCTCCGGGCCCGGGGAGGTATCCGCACGCCGTGCCGCGATCCCCACCGCTCGGCTCGGCGCGGCCGCGCTCTTTGTGTAACCCGCAGCCGTCCGCGGGGCCTCTCCCAGCGCCGGGCCCGGGCGCTCCGAGCGCTGCGCGGTGCTGGGCTCAGACCGCTCCCGCTGCGGGGAAGGGAACGGCCGCGCCGGGAGCGCGGCTCCGGCCTACATCGAGGCCTCGGCGGCAGCGGGCGAGGGAGTTCCGCGGCCTCGGTCCTCCGGGGCCCGCTCTCCCCGGGCTGGGTACCCCCGTCGGGCCACGTTCCGTCGGGGCGGGCGGCGGCGGGGCCCAGCGCAGTGGTGTGTGTTGCCCTGCCCGCAGGACCCCGCACCAGGAAGCTGAAGAAGAAGAAGACGGAGAAGGAGGACAAACGGCCGCGCACCGCCTTCACGGCCGAGCAGCTGCAGCGGCTGAAGGCGGAGTTCCAGGCGAACCGCTACATCACGGAGCAGCGGCGGCAGAGCCTGGCCCAGGAGCTGAGCCTCAACGAGTCCCAGATCAAGATCTGGTTCCAGAACAAGCGGGCCAAGATCAAGAAGGCGACGGGCATCAAGAACGGGCTGGCGCTGCACCTCATGGCCCAGGGACTGTACAACCATTCCACCACCACGGTGCAGGACAAAGAGGAGAGCGAGTGACGGCCCCGCGCCGACAGGTGCCAGGAACACAGAGCTATTGTCTATCCATAGTATAAGGACTGCGAACGAGAAAAAAAGAAATATGAACGCTTACAAAAAAAAAAAAAAAAAAAAAAAAAAAAATCTCTATATAGCCAAACATATGACCTTGTATATATTTAATTTCAGGTAAGAAATATGTGTAGCGATCTCTATTTGCTGGACGGTTTCTCTCTCCCCTTCTCTCTCCCTCTCTCTTTTGTTCGTTTGTTGCTTTCCTTTCCTCCCCACGTCCGTCGCTCTTCGTTTTCGGTGTCCGCCTCCGCTCTTCCGTTCGATCCATATTTGTGTGTGTGTGTGAATTTCTGTCTCTCTCTCTCCCTGTCTTATTTTTATTTTTTTTTTTCCCGGGGAAAAAAAAAAATAAATCTGATCCACAGACTGCGAGGCTGAACGGCCGCTCCAAGCCAAAGATTTTATTATGTTCAGAAATCTGTAGTCTGAAATAAAGTGTAGGCTGTGCTCAGCACGCGGCTGCCGCGGCTCCTTCTTTCGGTGCGTGTGTGTGTGGCACAAACACATCTGTGCACGCACAGCGCTGCTGAGTTTTGGTTTTTGGTGGATCAGCGCAGTGAATTTTTAAAGCAATTCTCCTCTGTTTTAAAGCACTCCGACCTTTAATATTTTTCTTTCTTTTTTCTTTCTTTCTTTTAAATTTATTTTCCTATTATTTTATTTTTTTTTTATTCTGTTCGGGCATTATCCTCCCTTTTTCCTTTTTTTAACGAGGAACGAAGCTCTGTACGCAGAGCGGCACTCTCTCAGTCGGACGCTCGGAGCCAACGCGGCGTTGCCCCGCAGCTGCCCTGCTCCACACACGGCGGCTGCGGGAGGATCCGTGCCGCGGCCCGCTGCCTTCGCTCAGCCGCTGGGGATGCGCGGAGCCCATCACGCCTCGCTTCGGCTTCTCACCGCTTTTGAGGGCTTCCGAGGGCCGGGCTGTGCCGATCTGACGGGACACGAGACGGGGCTGCTGCTGCTTGCAGCTTCTCTGAACCCCCCTTCCCGAGGCCCTCAACCGACGGACAGGAAGAGAGAAACGGGGAGAGCCGAGAGCGGAGCCCTTCTCCCGTGTGCGCGGCTCCCCGCGGCCCCGCCGAGGCCGTGCCTGGGCCGAGTGGGGCTGTGGGGTGAGCTCAGAACGGGCTTACAGTGGGCCCGGTGTGGGCTCGGGGTGAGCTTAAGGGTGGGCGAGCTGTAGGCGCCCAGCACCTACAGGCGAGCGTGCGGCCCCCTCGGCCTCACCCCGTCGGAGGTTTTAGGGGTTTTCCCACAAGTCGAGGGGAAGGGACAGAGAGAAACGGCCTCTGGGATTTTTGTTTGATTTTTTTTTTTTTTTTTAAGCTATTTAAAAAAAAAAAAGTTGTTATTATTATTTTCTTTCAAAACTATCTCTGCTCAGCGCCGCCGTCCCGCAGCGTGCTGTCACCGAGCTCAGCTGGAGGCTGCACTGCCTGGACAGACCCCCCTCCACCCTACCCCATTGCACCCCACCTCCTGGATCCCATCCCGTAATATCCCACCCCGCCGAGGTCCCCGCTCCTCTCTGCAGGCCCGGGGGAAGGTTTGGAGGGTTTGTAGAAATGTTGCACAGCGCCATCTAAAGTTCTTCACTCTTTTCTCCCTTTCCATTTTCTCGATGAAACTGAAGCATAAACTTAATTTTTCTGCACAAAGGGAAGAGCCCTCCCCAGAGGGACCGGATTGGGGGCACTTCCAGAACCGGGTGATCCTGCTCCCCACTCGCTGCCATCAGAGACAGGGGGGATGCAGAGAAATCGCCTTCCCCCATCCCAGCCCCGATTTAAATTCAGATCTTTGCCCTCGTCCTCCTTCCCGCACTTCCCTGGAGCTGCAGAGACCAAAACGTCAACTTCTCCTTAAAAACAGGGCGCCGGCCCTCCCAATGGATCTCTACCAGCTGCGGCCGTCGGATATTTCTGTGCGGTCGCAGAGCAGACGGGGAACCCGCACAGCGTGATTTCCCCGCCCAGAAAGCGAGTGACATTTAGGTGACATTAAGGTGACACTAAGGTGACATTAAGGCTAGGGGTTCCCAGCATCCCCCTGCTCCCCACCCCGCCTACCTGCTGCCTCCTGGGCGCGGGATCGGCGTTTGACCAAGCTCGGCAGAGCCGGACCAGGCAAGGAGAAGGACGGTGGGAGGAATATAGAGCAGATTAAGGGGAGCCTAAAGAGGATTATTTAAGCAAATCAGGCTTGCTAGGGTAATTATGCATTTAGGATTTCTCTGCGAGCGTTAGCAGAGCAAAGCAGACAAGGGAATCAGCTCTGGCCTCGTTGGGGACTGATGTACCCCGGGTGAGGCAGAGCCACATGCGCCATCCCCAGCCCCACGAAAGGCAGCGGAGTGGTGAGCGAGGCCGCCCCGTCCTCAGCGTCGGATGAGTCCGGCTGTGGCACGGAGCTGCGGTCAGAGAGCACCGCCTGCATAAGGGCTGGACGGGGCGGACAGAGCAACGTGCGAGCAGAAAAGCCCCGGAGGAAAAGACATCGGAAATGATGGTCAGCTCCCCTCCACCACCCGCTCCCCGGAGGTAGCAGTAGGAGTCGTCCCCCTCCCTCCGCCACTCCCTGCCCGCGTCAGGCCCCACAGCAGCCCCGTTTCTCTCCGCTTCCAGGGCCTCCCGCCTGCCCCCGTCCCGCCGTCGGGGCGGCCCCGCGCCCGGCTGATTTGCATATGCAAATGAGGCACGGGGGAGGGAGGCCACGTGCGGTTCCCCCCGTCGGTCCCCTCGGGCCGGATCGCAGATCCCGCTGCCTCCTGTCACGGAGCTTGTTCCTTTGTGCCGCCTTTCGAGGAATCAAAGCAGACACGGTTGTGACACGTAGCCCGGCGGGTCAGAGGTCAGCTTTCACAATCCCAATTATAATGATTTCTAATGATGTTTATCTTGAGGGCTCCGACGGCCGCGAGCTTTACAAGAGGGCTCCTTTCCCCTCCCCGCTGCTCTCAGGGCTGTGGGAGCTGCGCTGCCCGGCTCCGCGTTCCCCCCGTCGAAGGTCGCAGCGGCTGCGGGGCGGCTCGGAAGGGTTCCCCCGCGCGTCCCGGGACGATGAGAGCGGAGCTCCCAGTGTTGTACAGTGAACGTTAACACGCGCTGCACCTCTCCCTCCCCGTCGAGTCAGGTCCGAAGCGGCGCTAACCGTGCCCGAGCGGAGGTAGGAGCTCTGCTCGCCGAGCCGGCGCTCACGTTTGGTTGTCCGGAGCAGCTATAAGGTGGGGGTGGTGGGGCTGCAGGGACTCCCCGGGGCCGTGAGGTCTCGAATTGGGCGGTGGGGGGCAGAGGCGGCTCCCGCAGGGGCTGCGGCGTCTCGGGGGTGAGAGCGGTTCGACCCCGTTTCATTCCGTCTTACAACAACTAAACTGCGGGCGGACAGAAACGCTGCTCCAGAGCTCCCGATTAGATCTCAAACCGTTTGGGAAAAGCTTTGCCGGGCGGCAAAGGGGTGAAATTCGGAGCTAACAGAGGAGAGTTGTGAGTCGAGAAAAACAAATCCGTAACTTTTCACCGTCTGCCGGGTGCGGGGCACGGAGCGGCCTCGGGCGGCGCGTTGGGTTCACCTCTGTGCGCCGCATCCAATGCCTTAGGGAGATTTAAGGTGTATGTGGACTGTGTAACGCGGCTGTGTCCTATGGGGGGTAGTGGTGGTGGTGGGGATTCGGGAATCGGGCTGTGCTGTGCATTGAAGTCCTTTGCTCCGAGGTCTGATCTGTGCGTGCACCAGGTGAGCAACCCCTGCACAAAGCAGAGCTCCGGTCGGTTTGTGTATGGTCACCGTCCACTCGGAGGGAACGGGGATCCGCAGAAAGCTTTTTTCCCTGCGTCATCGCCGGGCCGTCGGGGCTGCGGCGGAGGGGGAATGGAGGGACGGGGCTGCAGGGGCAAGCAGGGCAACGGGCACATTTCGGCTTTGTTTTGGTTTGGTTTAACTTTTATTTATTTGTTTATTTTTTTTTCTCATCCGCGCTCGGGCTGTTCGGAGCGCAGCGAGCAGTGAGCAGCAGCAGAACAGCCCAGGGGCGGGGGGTGGCAGTATCCCGGTGCCCCTCGGAGCACTTTCCCGATGTGCGGGACGAGACCGCATAGGGCAATGCGGGGCTTCTCCCCAGGAGAGCACCGCAGGGACGCGGGGAGATGCGGCAGTGACGGGGCAGATCCCTTGTTCCTTTTTTCCCCTCTCCTTTTTCCTTACTTCCCCCCCTTTTTACCAGACCCTCACGTTTTCCCTCCGTTGTGAAAAGAGCATGAGAAGGAACTAACATTAACTTTAAGACCAGCCATAGTCTTTTTTTTTTGTTTCTTATTTTTTTTTTTTTTTTTTTTTTTTTTTTTTCTTTCCTCCTCCTCTCACCAGAGAACAATGCTCGCCTTATCTCCCCCCGAATAAATAAATCATAATTGCCCGACAGTTCCCCATTGCAATAAACTTGACCAGCTCTTCCAACGATTAGTTCCGCGTTCTCCCCGCTCTGGTAAAAGTCTTGTTAAAAGTGATTAATGTTAAAATAAGCTACTCCTGAACGTACTTTCCAAGATCTTCATTGGCAAAGTGCAAGTATTTGAGCTTCTTAAGGAGATGAATCCATGATGAAAAAGGATGGCTGCTGGCAGATAAGAGCAGAGATAGTACTGCGTTTTTGGGTACCAAATGAAACACCAATTACTCCTCTGCAGGTAGATCAGGTTGCTCAGAGCCCCATCCAGCCTGACCTTGGATGTCTCCAAGGATAGAGCATCCATCTCTTATAGATGGGAAACTGCAAGGGAAGAGCAGACCAGAAGAACCAATCCTCAGCACGCAGATAGCACAGGAGACATCCCCTCTGTGTTGGAACCATGGTAGACCTCATCACACTTGAGAATCTTTAATTGGATTGGGAAAATGATCAGTAACTTTAATTTTTTTGGGGGTGGTTCCATGGAGTGGGCTGAGCTTTGCTTGGAATCTCCCCGTATGCATGTTTCTATGTCACTGAGCTGTGGTGGGAGCTCAGATGGGCAAACCAAGCAGAACTCAGGTCACTCTCCACACGTGCTGTGAATTAGGGTCAGGCTATG